GGGCAGGTAATTTTCTCGGTGAGCGATTTCACGGAAGCCCGGCCTAATTATTCATCGCTCCGTCTCGGGAGCTGCGGCGCGGTCTTGACGGAGATCGCCCTCCGGGACCCGGGGCGCAGCCTCATTACCCGTCAAAATCACACACACGCTTCACCTTTGAGCCACAGGAGAAGCCGAGGAGGAGGAAGGCGAGGGAAGGAAACGCAATATACGACCTTTTGGACTGGAAAGGTTGTGGATAGATGCTTCCTATACGGTTAAAAAGCACAAGGGGGGAAAAAGGAGTAACCTCCGGCGGCTCATTTTAGCCAAGATCTATGGCCCCCTGCGGCATCCCCGAGGGGCGGAGGGGGAGGAAGGGGTGGCACCCCCCTTGTGTTACTCAGGTGCCTTGTGGCCCCTCGAAGATGAGTTTGGTGCGCGATCGCGCAGCGCGAGGGAGTTCCGCAGAAGGTGCAAAGCGTGGGGAGCGGGGATCCCAGAGCCTGGGGCGGGGGTCCCGAAGTCTCTCCCCTCCAGAGACCGGCACCTCCAGAAGGACATTCGGGAAACGTAGGCTCTGGGTGTGGAAGCTGAAAAGCCAGCTGAGCTCATGGAAGCTCCAAAAGAAGCCGCATTTCAGCCCCAAGACGACGAACCCCTGAACGTTAAGGCCAAGAGGCTACCAAGTGCTGCCATTCAGGACCGGGGATGACTAAGGAAGGTCGCGTGAGATCAGAGGGACGCCAGTGCCGGCGGTGCCCCGGTGTGGCCGGGCCCACGTGTGATCACAGGCTCGCTGGTAGCCGTTTGATGCCGGTTCAGATGATTAGAAGGCGGCTCAGAGGAACGCACGCGGGTCCCTGAGCCGAGCTAAATGCTGATGGTGAGTCTCTAGCTCCCCCTACTGGAAAATGTCAGGAAAGATTCCCTCCGTAAGGGGCCCCTTGAGGAAGAGCCTTTGTTTGGTGGATGCATGTTGGTGCTGCTACTTAATTTAGGCCTCCCTTGCATATTACGGGCGCTGTGTGGAGTTTTAAAAAAAGGTCAGCGACATTCAAGCAATTAGAAGAGACATTAGGACACCTCAGCACGCTTGAAAATTACGGTAATGAAAGAGTCTTGCCAAAGAATGAAACCACCACTCTTCTTGCTAAAGCATTAAGAGTAATTTCAGCACACTTTTAATCTACAGTATTTACTTGTGAAGAGAAAAAGTGCATTCGGTTGTTAAAGTTGAATCACTCGAATTCTCACGGTAATAATTCTGAATGTGCTATTGTTTCAGCACCCCATGAAAAAAAGACTTAACCATTAAGGAGAAACTTGTTCACTCCCCACCACCCCAAAAGTCCAATATGTCTAAATCGGATAATACTGTGGTTTAGAAAAATCCAAAAGTGCACTATTAACATCTCTTTTATCTCTGGAACAGGAAAGTAATTAAAATTCTTGAAATCTTTCATTTTAAACACTTGGGCTTGGTTTACCCAGTTCAAGATTACAATGTCTAGCTCATGTCTCCAAATAATATACACCACCAGCTTATCTCGGGCAAATTTCCTTATGCGGGTGAAATTTGTAAGATATTCTGAAAATAGAGTCTTCCTAATAATGCAGGAATTGACACATCATCCAGACTTATAAGACCTTTAATTTTAAGATGGTTCGCAGAAAGGAATACATTGGAGGATTTCAACTAGAAGTGTTTTCTCATGACTATTTATTTATCAGGCAAAATATAGATTCTATTTTATACTTGATAGACTCACCATCTGTAAATGCCTTTCCTTAAGTAACCTATAAAATCACTCAGAGGCAGAAAGAGTGTGTGTGGGAAACAGAAGGGATAGATTGGGTGAAATCAACCTACCACAGTTGTCATTGTCCTCTAGGGCAGAAAATGTTGCCTTACTCACAAAAAGTTATCCTTGCGTAGGGTATGACAAACTACATCATACAGAGAAGAGCTTTGTATGAGGGAAATCGGTTTGGTTATATTGGCATTTTTTACTGAGCATCAACATTTTGCATTCATAACTACCTACTAAAAGTGACAAAGCAAACCAATGAGTTTAGACTGGTGCCATTTTTTAAATGTTTTTTGTTGTTGTTGTTGCCATACACTAGCTACCTTATGGAATAATGCCTTTACCAAAACATTTTGGAATCCATGTTTTCTGCTCTTCTTGTAGTCAAGTTTGTAACTGATTTTTTAAAAGAAAGCTTTGTCAGTGTCTCATTTGACATGAAATGTGACTAAAAAAAATTATTTTATAAGAATTTCATCCCAAATGATAGTTTAGGATTATGACCAACCGTCTCACACTAAATTAGCAACAGTGACGAGTCACCATCAGAAATTTGTTATGGACAACATTAATTGGGAAAGAACAAAGGCACTACCTTCTGAGATATATAAGATCTATACTAGAAAAATGTGCATATTTCAATTATACTTAAGACACTTTTAGTGAGCACTGCCTATATAAAAAAATGGATTTCTCACTCCAAATGTTTAATTAAAGGAAAGTCTTTAAAATCTGAAGCTTCTAGTAGAAGTTGGAAATTAAATTTTAGCAGTGCTTTAGCTAAAAATAAATAAATAAATAAATAAAATAAGGTTTTCCTTAAGCCAAAAAGAAACAACAGTGGCTTAGAACAATGAAGCTCCATGACCACCAAACCCAAGAGTTTAAGATACAGAAAAATCAAATGGGGGATCTGCCTTCAATGTCTTTCTAAACATAAATTGTTTTTTCTTTTCCAAACAACAGCTGAATAGATAAATATACATGGAAATCTAGGCTTCTTTTATGTAAAACCTGGAATGGTATTATATATTCAGAATGTGCCTATATATTTTAATACATCTAAAGATTGTAAGAGACTGTCATTATCCCTAATTTGGGTAAGGTTATCCAATGGCCTTCTTTGTGATTGAACTTCTGAGTTGGTACTCCAGGAGAAATATAAAATAACCATATGAAAGAAATCTGCACAGTGTAACATATTAAATATTTCTTTTTCATACCAGATTCCCCAAGGATGTGCTAAAAACTGCAAAACCCTAATCCACTTTTTTACTCTTTTCAACATGTTCTTGTTATAATTGTAAGGCAGCATATACAGAAAAATCAAAGGTTTGATCCATGATAGTAATTTTAGCATATACTGCCATGTGGTGAGCACCGACCACATGTCAGGGAATTCTAGTTTTTTTCAAATTCATCATATTGTTAAATTCCTACAAGAGGCTTGTCTGGTAGACATTATTCCCATTGTACAGATGAGAAAAATGAAGATTAGATAATCAACCCAAGTTAATAAAAGGCACAATCTTCCTTTGAATTCAGACCTGAACCAAAAATCTACGTTCTCAAGAACTTCTTAAGTTGATTTAAGACATCCACCACATTGCATAAATAGTGTAATACTGTAATACATTACTCTGATCAATTTCAGAAAACCCCAGTGTACCAAAATATACAGAAATATGTGATCAATTTTTCTTCAAAATTTAAGAACCTCTTTAAAGCCATTGCTCAGCTTGAATTTTTCTATATAAGATTATCTTATTACACTATACAGAAACATCACATTAAATGACACGTATGGGTTAGTATCTACAAAAGGACACAGGACAACTAAAGTAAGTGAAGCATTAAAAATCCTGATCATAGAGAGACGGCTCATTTGTCCCTACATGATTTTTTCTTTATTACACTTGACCTTGTTCCAGAAAGGATTTGAGGGAGCCAAGATAAAATGAATATTGTTCTTCTGAAATATGTTCTAAGTATCTGATTTGATTCGATTTATTTGAAGTGGTCAACAATCCTTGTCTCTATACAAGTCTGTCTCTGGAGCTATTTATGAATAGCATTTTTGGTCTATTACATGGAGTTATTAATCTGGAATTTAAGTTGACCAAAACATAGTAATAGTTCATTTAAAAGAGTTTTCTCTGCAGAATAAAATCACGTAATTTCAAGAAAGAAAATCTTTCTTCCTTTAGAGTCCAAAATCTATTTGGAAAATCATTATTTATCTTGATTGAAGAGTTCGGTGATACTTCCAAATTAACATAACTATTGAATAAACAAAATATTACATTAAGTGGTATGTAACATTGAGAGCCAAGTAAGTATGTATACCTTAAAATTTTGAATTTTAAAAGTCACTTAGAGGTTTCTTAGAGGTCACGGATGAGATTTTATTTACCTTCATAGTGTCAGTTCAAGATGGTCCATTA